TTAAGTGAAATAAGTCAGTCGGAGAAAGACAAATACCATATGATCTCACTTATATGTGGAATCTAAAGAACTGAATAAACGAGCAAAGTAAACAGAAATAGTCTCAGAGACACAGGAAAAACTGATGGTTGCTAGTTGGCAGGGGGGTAGGGATAAGGGAGAAGGGGAAGGGACGAGACAGCATAACTAGGTAACTACAATATTGCCACATAGGATAGGAAAGACAGTTCGGGGAATATAATTAATAATGTTGTAAATATTTTGTAGGCTGTCAGATGGTCACATGTCTTGTTAGGGAGACCACTTCATGGATGGGGTAGAGGCTTGATCGCTGCATTGCACACCTGAAGCTGATGTTGTATAATATTGTATGTCAACCATGATTGAATATATATATAGTCACAGGATGTGGAGTATAGTGTGGGAGTGGAGTCAAGGGAATTGTAATAGATGTGTATGCTATGAGGGGGGAAGTGGGGCGGCAGATTGGGGAGTGGGGTTGTCACTTTGAGGGGTAAAAAGTATAGTGCACCGTGTTGTACAGCTGAAACTAATTTAAAAAAATGTTTATTTCACAATAATATAAAAAAACAAAAAAAGAAAAGAAAAAAAGGTGACACAAAAGCTAGCAGAGGAGTTAAGGCAGTTCCAAAAAGAAAAGAAAAAATCTTACTGAGTTCCAGTAGCCTTTGGGCCTGACCTCTCCAGACTAGTTTCTCAGCGATTCCTTCTGCGACTTAAATCCCAACTTTAAAGCCCAAGGGTGGCCCTAGCCCCTTCCCTACACTCCCACCCACCCAGTTCCCCAGAAGATGCAATCAGGCCTGGAACTGTAGGTGTCAGTGAAGTCCCAGGGACCCACGTGGGTTTAGCTGCTCCGCACTAGGTCAGGGGGACAGTCCTCAGCATCTTTCCAATCTGATATTTTGTACCTGTTTCTTTGGCACCCCAGAGCACTGGGCTGGGGGTCTCAAGGACAGCCCTGGAACTGCCACATCTTGAGGATGAGATCACAGATGAAGCCAGTGATGGGGGGAGGGGGGGGAGATTTCAGTCCTCCCAAAGGGATCTGCAACCTGAGTCTGGACTGGCCTCCTTGGATTTACCACACGTCAGGGACAGTCCTTAAGCCGGCCCTATACCATCTATCCTCCACCTCAGGGCCTTAGTCCTGGCTGCTCCCACTACGCTTTCCCCTCAGATATCTCATTGCTCATTCCTCATCATCCTCAGGTCTTGACTCTCAAGTCACCTTCACTGTCGTCCTCCAGATTTAAGATTCCAAGCCCTGCCTCCTCCCCCACCCCACCCAAGGCACTGCCTCCCCCACCTCCCTTCCTCTGCCTCATTGTTTCCCCTGGCACCTATCACACTTTCTAACATACTCTATACGTTGATTTTTTTTTAATTTGGTCTGAGTTTCCTGCTAGAATATAAGTTGCATGAAGGCAGGGAGTTAATGGTATGTGGGGGCATCACTGTGCCACCAGTACCAAGAGCAGTGTCTGGCACACAGGTGGTACTTAACAAATATTTGCTGAAAGAGTGCATGGGTAGACTGTGAAAGGACAGCTTCTACTCTCTTTGAAAAAACATCAAGAGCTATCATTTTATTGAACACCAACTGTGTGCCAGGCCCTCTACGAGACATGTTACCTGCATTGACTCATTCAACTCTCACATCTACCCTCAGTGGAGGTATGGCCTGGCA